TTGTTTTTTATCATCAAATTTCATTTTTCTGGACGAGGTAATGATGAATTTTATAAACTTTGACCCATAAAACTCCTAATTTGTGCCATAAAGCAATAAAATAGTTTTCCGGAAATCCACGGATTATTCGCAATTTTACTGCAGAACACGATAACAAACTTTTGCGTTGTAGTTTACCTGTGCTCGTGATTTTCTCCAAAGTCTAAAACGCCTAAGACCTGCATCACATCGGACGCAATAAGAATAAATAAATGCTAGTTGAAATTGCGAGTGATTGCCCCTTGATGTGATGAGGGCATCTGTTCACCTGAACAATCCAGCGATTGATGCTTGTACTGCTAAATATTTTATGTGTGATTCAAATAATATTAAGTTGTTAATAACTGCGTGCGGATGTAGCGTTATCACTTATGTTTAGTTAGGTATAACCTAAAAACCAATATTGTTAAAAAATCACCGGAAGTGAATCATTTGATTTTTCCCAACCTATGTGTTGTAGAGAATTCACACTGATGTTTTCTTTAACTTTACATCTATCGGCCGTTCACAACGAAAACGATGTTTCAGCTTTACACAAACAAGATACATGGTCTGTTACATAGATGCTTAAAGGAATCATCCTTGCAGTATATCCAGGCACGGATATTGGCCTGCAGACACCCGTATTACTGGAAATGAGAGCATAGACTTAATCTGGATGTATATGAACGTCGCACAGCTCTCTACTCGAAGGTTTAGTGATTCACAATTGCCAAAAAACATCCATGACATTAATTTATTGATGTCATTTAAGTGCTTAGGGGGCTTTGATGCAAATAACAACATATTAAAACGTGTTGGCGCATATGGTTTAATGACAGGTTCATCGTGTTATCCAAACTAGCTCCGGTAACCCTACCTCTGTGCTGTTTCCTATAAACGATTTGGATATTGACTTGTGGCTACACAGAGCTTCGGACTGTCCCATACTGTTTTCCTAATAGATTCCCGATCCCAATCTGCATAGAACTATATATGCTTCAGCCAAGTGCATGCGTCATTATCTAAGGACAAATGCAACATGATTCACTTACTAAAACACTTACCTTCAAATACGATTTCATATATTTTAGATGGTTCAACAATTTTGTAAAATGGCAGTGTATTTTATTGTTTGAAAATGATTGTAACTGTGTTACAGTGTTTGTGTTGAGATTCGGTAGACGCTCATTGCAATGTGTTTGGACAGTGATTAGTCGTCAGGAAGTTATTGAATATAGAATATTCTTTGTTGTGGGGACACTTGTGTAATTTCCAGTAGCTTGGTGGGTTGTATATAAGGAGACAGGAGCCTGCTTGCGCATCTCTCACGCATTTCATCACATCGGAACCAGCTTTCATGTGATGATCACTCATCTCGGAAGTTTGACTACTATCGCCGCTGGGTGACTTTTGGATCACCACTGTATTTGTGTATCTACCACTGCCCACTGCCATCACATTACATATTGCCATTGATTGTACCACCCCTCTGTTGTGTACTGCCCTTGTAATTACTGTGCAGTAATTTGTATTCATTTGCAAACATATTGGTTGTTTGTTGGTTTCACACTAAGTTCTTTTACGTACTGATTTCTGGGTTAACATTTCAATTTGGAAAACAACACGTAACAATATATTTACTTGATGTTGGAAACCGGACCGGTAAAGATATTATATCCGTTCCATCTCGATTATTCAAACCAGATAAGTACATAGAAAGTTGCATGCCTGAAAACATTTGAAAGCAAGTGGCACCTGGGTGTAAAATTGTCGTCATCGGGAAAGTCGTCATGTCATAGTGCTTTGAAACTATGTCAAAGATGATTCTTTCCTCGAGAGAGTTTCAGTTATTGTTTATTACACTACATTTTGGATTGTATATGAAGTTTGTGACTGTTGTATCAAAGAGCAGAAGAGTAGAATAGAACAACTCAAACAGGAAACAGCAAGAATTGTAGCTGTTTACCAAGATATACTTCTGTTAACAAATAATATTTGTTAACGTCCTGAGAGCTTTTATCAGGGCCTTAGCAAAACCGTACATTGTCTTTATTTTATGAATCATATAACAACATAACACCGCCATACCTCAAAGATCTAGCACCTCACTCTGTCGGGACAATCGTAACATACAACCTTAGAACTACTCATAGCATAACCATGCCTTTATTTCGTACCAAGATTTCAGAATCCTCGTTTATACCATCCTCTATTAAATTGCGGGATACATGTACATTACCCATTCAACAAATGATTATTGAAACCTTATCTGGATTTAAATCCAGTTTAAGAACAGATAAATCTACAGTTCCACCAGATTTCCCATATAGTCTCTGAAAATATAACATAAGTCATACAACATTATAAGACATGGTGATAGTGAATTAAAAGATTATTTATTTAGAAAACGGTTTAAACGAGGATCCACAACGTCGATGTAGCGGTCCTTAGAATTGATATAATTATTCGTTGAATATTTATTTTTTCCAAATTAGGTAGAAACGAATTGATGCCCTCATTACTGTTGATAGTAAAATATACTTGTGATGTAAATATTGACCTGATGCTAGCTGGCAATGCAACTTTATCTAATTATGTGAATGAAAACACATCCATATGTAAAATACACAAAGGTTTGAGTGAGCGATGAATTTCCTAGTTTTGACTCGTATGCACTAAAATAACACATCAACAGACTCCGTACCATTAGTACTATCCCACAGATGTTATCTATGAGGAAGTTCAACATTTCACATACTGTTTTCTCAGCTATTATCAGATGACATTTGCTTACATTTTGGACAAACTGTTTATCTTTGAAGATGAATATGTTACTATATCTATGCTGACCACGTTCAGTGACAGATATCATGGATCAAGGAATGGAGTTTGCCTTGTGGGATAGTGGTGTGCAAAGTTGAAAACCTAATGTTTTGACAGAATTGAGATTTTCTGAGATTGTTAAACTACAAGGAAATCCTTTTAGGTTTTGAGAATCCACACGGTTATAATTCCACTTGTCTCAAATACTTTCTGTGAATATAAAGAAAGTCCTGCCTTGATTGTAATAGAGAAGTTCTGCAGACAACTCGATACTTTTACTTCGAGAATCAACAGATCCGCGTGATGTTTCGACTTAAACCATGTTTTTGTTGATGGTTGGGGGTGAACAATCGGGTCTGAGGACGCGATAATTCATGTCGCTCTCTGTCTTGTTCCTTTCAAAACATCATTGATAAATAAATAAGTTATAACTAAACTTAATGTATACACATGCACAAAAGTTAAGCGCCACGCATCATATTTGTGAGCTGTTACTTTTGGCACTAAATGATGACTATTATAACGAGATGTACGATTGTTATAAGCCGTAAATGCCTCATGTGATGCAAAAGTTGTCCCAAAGCAAGTTTATCTTGTGTTCCAAAAGAATATGAGCAGAAAGGAATTTTACCGAAGACCAGAAATTGAAGGATTAGAAAACATTGAAAAACTGTTTTTGTCATGTAACTGTCATGATATTAGCAGACCATATCAGGTGTCACATAGACACCCTAGGGAGTGCAGAGTCTATTGCAAGACAGAAACGTCAGTAACGTGTGTATGATCAGCGGACATTGATCACAGCTTCAACCCTACGCCTCATTCTCATTACAAGTCGTTGAATGCTTCTCTGAGGCAAACGGATCCATTCTTCATGAAGTGCGGCTTCAAGTCCTGCGAGATTTTGAAATGGGGGATCACGATGTCTGACTTTCAGGCCAAGAATGTCCCAGAGATGCTCAATCGGATTAAGATCCGGACAACAGGCCGGCCAAGGATGAGTGGCAATAGTTTCTTGACGCAAATAAGCCAAAACTGCCTGAGATCTGTGTGGTCTAGCATTGTCGTCCATGTAAACAGGTCTTGTTTGAAGAGGATGGTTGTCAAAATGAGGGACTACCAGTGGACGAAGAACGACATCTTGGTATTGTTGGCAATTCAGGTTTCCACGAATTGTCACCAGCGGAAGTTTGCAGCCGAAGGAAACACAACCCCGTATTATGACAGACCCCCGCCACATGCTAAGGTCTTCTGGATGTTCCTTGGTGCAAAACGAGTGTTACGTTGCCCCCAAACACGTGTTCGACCATCAACAGTTCGTAGCAGGATTCGATACTCGTCAGACCAATGGATCCTACTCCAGTTGGCCAAGTTCTATCGACTACGGGCACGACACCATATCAGACGATTCCGCATGTGCCTCTCAGTCAGTTGAGGACGTTTTACTGGTCTTCTGGCGTTATAACCAGCCGCTCTGGGGCGACGCCTTACGGTCATTGTCGAGAGTCTCTGATGGGTAATCCACTGTAGTCTTAAATCTGTTGAAGTGGCAAATGGATTTCGTCTGACTATCCTGAAAAGACGTCTATCCTCTGTTAGTGGTCTTTCTTGGTCTACCAGACCTATGCCTGTCATTGACATCATTGGTTTGACCATGTTTGACAATCAAACGAGTGATAACACTGTGATGACGAGCCATTTGTCTTGCAATGGCCCTGCATGACATGCCAGCATTTTTCATGCCTATCTCTTGCCATCTTTCAGCGTTCGTTAACTTTCTCCCTCACCATAGCTGATTTTCAACCTCTATTGGAAGGGGAATCTCACACAAGAGCAAAATGCAACCACGTGTCTGAAACTTGAATTTCACTATTTATAGGAAAGGGGAACTGCAGTAACACGTAAAGCACGCTTTCCTTGTGGTATCTGGACAAATTTGGGTTCATGAAACTATGGAAGCCTAATTCAGTCATACATCATCATATTTCGTATTTCTGATTCCCACACGTGAAATCAAGAGACTGAATATGGTGGCGCTTAACTTTTGTGCATGTGTATACTTTCTCTGACAATTCATTTAGGTTGTGTTTTTTGCTTATATTAATCGATGTGTAGATTAGTTTCAAAACATAACATATTATTTGCTTTCCTTACAGGAGTGGCTATTTATCAAACCACATTTGCAGGAACCATTCACTATGGGTCGTTTTGCACGAAGACAGTCATCTGCAAAGGTACACGATTCGGTCCATTCAAAGGTAGAGTGGTGAATACAAGTGAGATCAAGACCCTTGACGACAACTCACTAATGTGGGAGGTATGTCATATCGAACAAACCCTTTTACACGATAGCATTACACTCTGAAATATACGATTTGTAAATCTATTCTGAAAACGTTAGGGTTAAACTATTAATGTTGTTTCATACACTTAAGAAACTTCATTTTAATTCGAATTGATAGTGTGCTAGAACTTGGTAACTAGAGGGCAAACAAATCGAGCAGACATAATGTAAATTTGGTTGTGTGTCATCTGTTTAAGTAGCTGCAGGTATAAACAATAACTTAAGTCTTGAGAACGATATTGATTGATTACGTGTCATCGTATCACGTCAGTGTCGGGCGTTGTTCATGATATTAACCACTGCCAATGACTCAATCATTTACGGGAGCACGGGTGGACTAGTCGTCCAAGGCGCCGCAATTAGCAATGAAGAGTTGCGTCCCTTGGACAAGCCAGCCACCTATGAACGTCCTGGGAATCCCTGGTTTCTGGTGTTTCTAGGTTTCCCAGCACCATACCCGTCCTCGTGGGTTTCACCAAAGTGGTAAACGTCTGGAACCTGCATCACTTTTGGGCTTTCCTCCCACATTAAGCTGACACGCCGTGATATAACTGTAATACTGTTCAAAGCGGCGTGAAACCCACCTCACTCACTCACTCAGTCAAAAACAGGCATCCCCCACATAGATGGAATATCGACATGGGGTTAAATGTGAATTGATGCCAAATTAGATGTGTCAGGTTTCGCACTGAAATAGTGATATGGAATTCTTGAAATCACTGCAAACCTTATACCGACCGATTCATTCGGATATATAGTTTCCACAGCAAGTGTATGTAAGTGGCTTATTGCCGACTGTGACGTTTTACCGCAATCATTACTCACTCCTGTAAAATTCATAATTTAAGCTATGCAATGTTAATTCAAACATGAGCCCCCGTAAAGTTAGGAATCAAAATTAAATGTATATGGATATGTCCTGCATCTACATACAAAATATCTTACTGATATTGAGAATGTTGATATTGATATTTTTCTGGCTCACAAGTGCTTGAAAAAGACTAAAAAATACTGGCATAATGTGTCCTATAGGTGTTTCAGGAAGGAAAATTAAGCCATTTTGTGGATGGACGAGGCAATGCAGGAAACTGGATGACGTATGTGAACTGTGCACGATATGCCCAGGAGCAGAACCTTCTAGCTGTGCAGGTTGATGGAGACATCTGGTACGAAGCATGTAAAGACGTCCCCCAGGGTACGGAGCTGCTAGTGTGGTATGGGGACTGTTACCTCCAGTTCATGGGGGTTCCGGTCGCCCTCAAAGAAATGGCTGACGGTGGAGCCCAGGAAGAGGCAGATGGTGAGTGGCATAGCTTCTCCTCATCTAAGTTAAGGTCACTCCATATAATGTTTTTCTGACTTGATTGTTCATACCAAACATCATAGGAGACTAGCCACATTAGTGACATGTCATCCGTGGTTCGAAGAGTATCATGTGGAACTTGCCAGTTCGTCAATCAGTGTGAAATGAATAAATTTATATACGTGAAGGCGATGAGAGTTACGAGTACGTGCCAAGAATGAATCTTACAGGTAATCTAAGAATATGTTCTCAGGAAAGAAACGAAACCAAGTATTAAACTATTTATATTATGGATAAGAAAAGCACAACAGTTTCCATTTACTAATATACAGTGTACGTTAATATTCGGTTTGCTCCAACAAGTAGACAAAATCACAGCCGTGAAGATCCGGGTTAGAATAGGTCTTCAACAACCCATGCTTGTCTTAAGAGGCGACTAACGGGATCGGCTTGTCAGGTTCGTTGACTTGGTTGATGCTTGCTATCGTATACTAATTGCGTAGATCGATTGATACTGGATTTACAAAATCACAATTCACGTATGCCGGTTATGAGACGCCTATAACATCGCGTATATTTCATACTCAGCTGCGATACATACATCCCTGAATTCCTCATACATTGTAAAATCGAATGACAAATGGTCTTTGTCACCAAAATAAATTATCTAAATGAAGTCAAGCGAATTTAATCAGGTGTGGAAACAAACGCTGTGCTCGGAAAACTGTACTTGTTTAAAATGTAAGCAAAGCAAAGTTCAGATTTTACACTGTGTAGCATTCTCTCCTATTTTGATATATCCATTCGTCTACATGTTGCTTATATTGGCTCACGTGTTTGGTAATATTCATAGAAAGACTATCGTAGAACGAATTATGGAATTAAAAAGATATTCATTACAATGATCTTGTAACTTCAACAGAAATCGTAAACATTTCCGTCCTGTGTGACAAGAAGACTGACGCAAAATCACGCTTAACGACGACGGTAGTTATCTGCATTTCCCGACAAATTCTTATTTTATCGATTTTATCTTACAACTCGTTGTTTCAAAGCTGTTCTAACTCGCTTTCGCTCGTTGGATACATTTTGAAACAACTCGGTGTAAGATAAATGGTATCTGGCAGACACTCGTGTAGTAATCTATAAAGCTGTATTACACATTGTGTATTGCCAAAGCGCGTGCTACGTGGGAACAAGTTTCACCTATCTCACGTTCGGCTATTTCCGTCAAGCCAATATGCCAGCGCCCTCTGTTGGCAGATTGAAGTTTCACTAACAAATATTGACATCCTTGGGCTTTTTCAATGACATTGCGTTTAGAAATGATAGATCACTGATAGGAGCTTATGCATACACGATGACCCCAGCAACCCTGTTGCTAGGCTGACCTCACATGGCATTGTTTTGCCGGTGGGTCTTGCAAAACGATTACGTCATAGGGTATTGGGACGTGAGTGTAAACTTGCGTGATATTTCTCTTCATCTCGTCTCAGAATTATACAATAAAGGATGCTCAGAAAGCTCCTTTGGTATAGAATTATCAGGAAAATCGTAAAGGGTTCGACAAACGGGGTACATGGCACGGTTTGTAATTTTAATACTTTCTACAATTCTTGGAGATATATAGTGAACAGTTTATTATCATGTGAGCACAATATTTAAAAAAAGGGTGTACCCATTGATTATATAATGCAAAACGAGAGGAATAATTCGTAAATCGTTTGTGACTAACGCGCACCTGACGACATAAAAACACAATTCCAAGACTAAGACACTTCTTCTAATAATGTGTACATATATTTAAAAAGAAATGTTATCCAATTTGTTAAACAAATATATTCAGTTATAGTTTTAAAAGAAAATGGAACGGCTAACCAGTTTATATGAAATTATAATATTGACTATTACTCTCCAAAGAAATACGTACATGTTCCAGCTACATTTACAAAAATGTTTTATCTTCTAACACTTGTCTAAAGGAAAAAAAATATCGTATATATACGACACTATAAACATATCAATTACTTATGTAAACAATATTCAAACAAACAGGAGATTATCAAAGGTTCATACATTTTGTGGCCAAAATCTAGGTATGATATCATATTGAACATTGATAAATATCCATAGTGAAATTAAATGTGTGAAGAAATGTATAAAAGATATACAATTTCTGTTGAATTTATCACATCAAGGAAATGTATCTATTTTAAGTTCCCTTGTTCTTCCTACCATTCTCTTCCAATGCATATTCTGTAAATCTTGAGCTGATTTATGCAACGAAGAGAAGAATTGGTAGCTGAGAATAGGAGAAAATGCTACACTGCGTAAAACCTGAATTTTGCTTTGTTTACATTTCAAACAAGTGCAGCTTTCCATGCACAGCGTTCGTTTTCACAACTTATTTATTTTACTTGATTTCATCTAGACACTTTGTATTGGTGACAATGACCATTTGTCATTTGATTCTAAAATGTTTTATGAATTCAGGGATATATGTATCGTAGCTGAGTTTGAAATATACGCGTTGTTACAGGCGTCTCAAAACCGGTATACGTAAAGCTATCCAATATGGCGGAAAGTTCATTTCGGCGTACGTGTTTACGCCGTTTCCAAGCGATTCTAGGGTTATCGGCGACGTTTGGAATGATCATTGGTGATTTCATAAAAGACAGATACCCTAGACTAACATTTAGTCTCTGAAATCTTATATTACACAATATCCTTCTTGACTCTAAAAATACAAAACAATTTCCCTATGCTGATTTCATATGTGGAATGTGGAATAGAGCTAGCTAGAGCTGGCTAGACTTGCTTTTGTATGCGTTTCTAGATTTCTTTTTTTTTCATAAAATAAATATATTCCACGGTCATGGTGTAGGACTACAGATACCCGTGATCACTAATATGCTATTTTTGAAATTCTTCTAAACAAATGGCGACTTTTATGGTGTTCCTTATTTTCAGAGGTCATTTAAAAAAAAATGCTTTGCCAAAAAATTGCAGTGGATGATATTGATCACAGAATGGAATTCCCCACAGTATTCAAAACTATAAAGTGTATCTGTGTGTGAGATGTATGTTGAATTTTATTCGTCTTCAAAGTGAGGGTTGAAGAGGAGGGACATATATAGAGGATGTTATATGAGTGTTTATGTCATACTATGTTCACGACACGAGAGTCTAAATTCCGGTATTTCCCGAGAGAGTCGGTGTCGCAAACAATATATGACATGTACACGAATATGATATCCTATTTATTACCGAAGAAGATGTCTACATACAAAGACGAATTATAGTTTTGGGACAGCAAGTCGCAACAGCAGCGAAACCACAATTTGTCAACAATTTTCAGCTATTACGTCGTTTCTGGTGTAACGTCATTCCGACCTCACGTCACAATAACATTCGAATGACTTCAGCAATGACGGAAACGATATACTGTTGTCTCGTGGCGTGATATGACCCTAAGGCTCATATGATTTTTATAATTTCATCCTTTAAAGTTTACACTGTTTCTATCATGCTGATTGGCTGAATGGGTAGTCACGTGATCAGACATTTCGTGTTCACACTCCTGTGAACGGGCTGAAAAGTTCACACGATGTGAACAATATTTTGTGAAATTGATTGTGTGAACTTTTGCCGGAACTACTTTCCGGGGTTTCCCCGAATTCTCGATGGGTGTTTACAATCAACTCCTTTTTCTATTTTCTTTTTAATCCCCGCATTTATCGGGAATATAATTAATTTAGTATTTGTGCCTTGTCTTGTAACATTTAATCTGACTTAAAAATAAATGAATGCTTTGGTACTGGTGTTTAATGTCGTCTAGCTGCTACATGAAACAAAATGGATTGTCCTCACGGTGATTTGGATATGGAATGGCTATCTTTCAATATTAATAACGCAAGTGAAGAAGATGAATTCTGTAAAATTACTGAGGTGAACGAAATTAATTTATAAAGCGATATTGACTTTGATGCCTTGTTTTCGGAAATGACAGGAATCTAGCACCAATGAAAACAATGTGGCCAATGTGGCTCAGATGTGGCCGCTGACATAGATCAAAGCGACTGCTCCTAATCAATCCCAAACTAAACGCGGATTCACTATCGTATCGAGAATATAAATGTAAGATTTTGAGAAAAAAAGGTAAGGAAAGAAACTTAAATTTTTAAAAACAACAAAAAACTTACCAACCTGTTTTACCGATCGGTCATCGGAGACAAGAAAATATCCATAGACGGAATTAATATTCCGGTTTCTGAGTTGGCCGACCTTCTCCGTGCATTCTAGGCCGAGAAACGGCGGCGCATGAGGAATGACGGGACACAGAAATGAAGCTGGCATCAGTTCATACAGTAGATCCATCTCAGGTGACAAACACCAGCTAAGTAAAGTATTACAGCACACACGACAAATCCCAAACTCCAAATAAACTGGGCGGCAAAAGAAAGTATAGGTCGAGTTCCATGAACGATAAAAAAATAGTTTGTTGTGAATTATAATATAATCTAGGGAGGGGTAACAATTGATCAAGCACAGTTTGAATGAAATTGTGCAATCACAGGTAATGTAAGCTCAAGGTAAACAATGGTGGGGTAAGAAATTTCATTTTCAAAAGTTGTCTGAAATGTCACCAAACAATTGTCAGACACACTACAAGTTCATTGTCGACACAGTTGCCTTCAATAGCGCGTATGAACTCCAGCTGCCTCAATGCATGCTGTGATACGCCGCCTCCTGGATGACGTCTGTCTTCTGATGACGTGGACTGGAATCTGTTGCCACTCGTCTCTCGGGGCCTGCTGTCTGTTGACAGGAGGCTGATGGCGTGCTCTTATCTGTCTGTGAAGATGGTCCCTCAGATGTTCAATAGGATTCATATCGGGTCAGTGGGCAGGCCAAGGCAAAACGTCAACGTTCTGCTGGTTTAGAAAGTTCTGGAGTCAGTCTTGCAGTATGGGGCTTGGCATTGTCGTGTTGAAACAATGTCCCCTGCTGTTGGATTTGTAAGAACGGAAGCACAACTGGCTGCAACACTTGGTCTCTGTACTGCACAGCGTTCAGGTTTCCCTGTATAATCACCAAATCAGACTTCTGATCTCCACAAATACCGCCCCACACCATGACACCTCCCCCGCCGAATGGATGGACCTCTCGAATACACGCCGGAGCCAAACGTTCCCCTCTGCGTCGATAAACTCGTTCTCTGTCGTCATTTCGTAACAAGTTAAACCGACTTTTATCAATAAACAGCACTCGACGCCAATTTCTCACTTACCAGCGTCGAACCTGCCTCGCCCATCGCAGTCTAAGGCGTCGATGTTGAGCAGTCAGTACCATTCTTCGGAAAGGACGATATGTTCGGATTCCAGCAGCACGAAGTCGTCGTAGTACTGTACGTTGGCTAATGGGATGTCCCAACGCAGTTGCTGTCGTCGCCGTCTCCGTTACGAATCTGTTTCGCAGGTGAATGAGCCGTATCTGACCGTCTTCCAGTGGTGTTGTCACTCGGGGTCGTCCGGTTCTAGGCCTGTCCTGTGTCCTCCCAGTCTGTTTGTACCGTTGAATCAGCCTGGCTACTGTCAATGGTGTACAACCAAACCTTCTGGCAATTTGGACCTGTGTTGCCCCCATTTCGGCCATACCGAATGCTCTCTCTCTCTCTCTCTCTCTCTCTCTTCTCCTGTGTTCTTTCATCACGTGTGGTTATACTCTGCAGTCGAATGCATTTATACAGCTAACATACACGTGCAGTTTATGCCATAGGCGGGAAACCTGTTTCACCATTTTTTAGTCACCGCACGAGCGCCGCCAAAGGTGGCGCGTTCGGGTGAGGTGTTTTTTGGTACCTGTTCCTGGGCAGTCATATTCCCAATACCCACTTTCCACTTGTTATCGCTGTTTTTAGGAAAATTACAAATTGCCAGCCTATACTTTCTTTTGCCGCTTAGTTTATAACACACCCTGACGTTGAAAATTAATAACACAAAACACACAAGTTTCAGAGCACTCGGTTCAATCCCACCAGTCCTTTCCACATCGTCCGAATTGGTTTGCGATTATCCAAACACAAACAACACATTCATAAATCGGTGATATTCCCAATTTGCCAATGGTTCACGCGTCGGGGCGTTTTCCATAACTGCTCCATCAACTTCATTTTCAACAGCAGTTAGTATAAATTTCAACCGCATGCTCCCGTTCGACTCGAAATGCACCTCTTTACAAACTTTTGTGACGTCATATATAAATCCTCGCTTGAAGGTTGACCTCGCCTCGGTGCATCGAGGTCATGTTTATATTTTTGTTCACTTTCCTGTAACCTCTTTTTAAGATTTGATTTATCCCAACTATTGTTTGTAAATTTGTTCGGAGAATAAAATTATGTTGACATATTTCTAGATTATGTTTTATACATTCAAAGAACTATTTTTCTTTGCGTAACTGAGTAGGAGTTGGGCCGAGAGCCCGAGAGCCGGCAAATACCTACAAAATAACATTGTTGCAGTGTTCCTCGGCGAAACCAGAGGACTTCAAATTTAAGCAAACATTGTTACGATATTATTCGGCGAGACTAGTAAACTACAAAGTATGAAATTATTAGAATTGAACGTAAATTGTATACCATATAGAGAAATCTACTGAGTATTAATAACTTGAACATGACAAAGCTTTCAAAATACGTAATCATGGAGTAAGGTTTTGTTGCTCAAACCTTAAGATTATATTCTATAATTCGTATCTAGCATTCTTCAATGAACACATTTCATATGCCATGTGTAAAATGTCAAGAAAACTTTATTGGTCATGTTCTCATTAAATGACTTGTAAACAGTTTAATTAAAAAAGCATGATTTGTATGGTTTAACGAATGACAGTAAAACAGTGAGTGAGTATGGTTTTACGCTGCTTTTAGCAATATTCCAGCAATATCAAGGCGGGGGACACCAGAAATGGGCTTCACACATTGTACCAATGTCGGGATTCGAAACCGGGTCTTCGGCGTGACGAGCGAACGCTTCAGCCACTAGGTTACCTGACCGCCCCCGCGGTAAAAACAACATTTGTAAATTATTGATTATACATTTGAACACTTTCTACAATACTTGCCATGTGTTAATGTCGTGGCAAATGTCAAGTTCATTCACACATTGAACGGTTTGTGAACAGTGTGATATAAACAATTTACAGTAAGATAATTATGGACACTTTACATTTTTAACTCCGCCTATGCTTGCAGTTTGAACTTTTGAGGCAGGACAAAGCTGATATTAAACATCAATGGTATTAGACATTTATCATCCAAAACTGGCATCCACATGAGATATGGCTTGGGTCTTACTTTATTTCTGTAATTCATGAGAACACATTTCTATTTCATTGCTGACATGTGAATCACCTATGGTTAGTAGATAGACGCTACCAATATTGATATAATGCATTGCTGGTATCGCTCATATGTGGGTCAACATTTTCAGCTACTGCCAAAACATAATAAAAAGGAGTTGTGGTTGATTTATAGCCAATGTGGGAAACATACCTGTTTGGTTTCTACATTATCGACTTATTGAACAATAGCCCGCGTGTTGTGCAATTGTTCACATTGCCACATTAGACGCATATAACACGATGATTGACCTGATGTCATCCCCTTAAAGGCAAATGGTACTTGCCTCATGTAAGTCCAGCTTGATCCATGAATTGAAATGCGTCGAAAAGGTTCAACGATAAAAAAAAACATATATCCCAAGTGTACTCGAGGTCACCGGGTTATCTATAATCACCTTTTTAAACTGCGAGGACACTACTAGCCAACCGGGATCTCTTCCCGTGTATGTGCTTGTAGACCTCTGCGGCTTGGAACATTTCCCCGAATTATTACACTAGAATTTGGCCTAAATATGTCCGAATTGTTACCTTGCTTCGTTTTGTCGCTGGAACCATGGGATTTTCATGTATTTATGTGAATGGAATGTGTTGTCCAAAAACAGACGTAAAATAATCAGGCTAGGCGTGCATTTCACTTTACACAATTTAAGTCCAAAGCGTTAGTATTTTACAATCGGACATTATAGGAAAAGTACATGAATTTACTTCCTTTTATTCTTTTTTTTCGCATTTAATGCAAACATCTACCGTTTTTGCTAGTTTTCTTCAAGGTTGCATGAAAAAGGCATTAAATTGTTATATCTGATTGCATTCGAGTACATTTGCAATTCGAGTAATGGCTCTACCGGACTCAAATACACATGTAACTGTCGTTTCGTCCTCAGCTGACATGTTAGCATACGCTACATTTACTCAATTTTATATATGTTGCCTGAATAATAAACTGAACATGTGTTACTGCACAGCCAGTGAGGGGTACCAATGCGAGCGGTGTGGCAAGGTGTTTGCGTACAAGTACTACCGAGACAAACACTTGAAGTACACACGATGTGTCGACCAGGGAGACAGGAAATACCCGTGTCACCTATGTAGCAGGTGAGATACTTCGAACACCAATTGTATGTCAGACTCCGTTCCTTAACGTTTGATCAGCTTGACTTATTAAAAGAAAACTACAATTTGCATTCTTAGCGAGAAGTTTATTTATATGTCGATCAAAAATATGGTATGACCGGTCTTATTTAATGTTTCAAGGTCTTTTGAAAAGCGAGACAGACTTCGCATCCACATCCTCCACGTTCACGAAAAACACAGGCCTCACAAGTGCATCGTTTGCGGCAAGAGTTTTAGTCAGTCGTCCAGTCTCAACAAACACATGCGGGTAAGTTTTTTGTTTGTTGTTTAACGCCGCACTCAGCAATATATGACGGCGGTCTGTAAATAATCGAGTCTGGACCAGACAATCCAGTGATTAATATCATGAGCATCGATCCGAGCAATTGGGATCGATGACATACATCAACCAAGTCAGCGAGCCTGACCACCCGATCCCGTTAGTCGCCTTTTACGACAAGCAAAGTCACCTTTTACGGTAAACATGGGTTGCTGAAGACCTATTCTACCCCGGAATCTTCACGTGTCGCGGGTAAGTAATTTACGATTACTACTACAGGTAAAAAGTACGTTTCGTGTCGCGTATGTCTCACTTAATAACACATATAACTATTCAATATTTGGTATCTATAGCTGCCTAAATGTGGTACTGAAAACAACGAGACATTGCCTCTTAGGTTGACTGTACATGTGTTATTATATTGCACACAGATGATGAATTTTCGCGTGCACTAAGTTATTAGGCTGACTGACGGTTCAACGACACACCTGCCAGATTAATAACATGATTTGTCACACTGTCTTGACAGACAGCGATAGTCCTTGAACGAATCGTTTATAAGATATTACAGGAGCTTCAATTTAATGTCAAGTTTGTGCCTCCCGTGACGTTGCCGGGTTATCATTGATTTCTGGTAACCTGTGCAAGTCGGCTGACATAGATAGGGTGGTCAGGCTATGTTTTTGCGATTCATCGCATCACCAAACCTATATCGATTTACATGGAGGTTTAACATGACTGTTATTACCACTCAGGGAATTTGAGATCGGCGGATCCGTAGGCCATTAATACAACAATGGTTGTTATGTGTTTCTTATATTAAAAAAAATTACAAGTGCAAATATTTGCACATTATCGTATAAGTATTCCATACTGTAACCATTTGGTAGAATATTCGGAACTTACATCTAATTGAAAAGTTAGTAAGCTTACAATAATAAACATTTATTATATATATTTGTTTCACCAAGAAAACTTGATTAAAATGGACATTGTTTTATATGCATTTTATGCAAATGTAAGATATGTTTTAGATCAATTTATCCTATTTATCTTTTTCATTATGGTTCATTCACTGACTTTTATTTTTATTATATTTAATATTCCAACCGAATGCCATAAAATATATGGACTCAATCAATGTCTATTTTAGGAGAAATTTCATCTAGATATCACATTCAGGTATAATAATACACGTTGACTGGTATACGTATCCTCAACGATGGGGAAGGGGTATTATTCTTTTGAAATATTGAACTGAATCAAATGAAAAAGTGTTTGATTTGTCTTGAAAAATGGGATTCTAGAACGACAATAACTATTAATAGATCAAAGGAAGGGTTGATGTCGCTGGTCATTCTGTCATCTCTTCTAATCACTACCAAGAGCTCCCTCCACAACCACCCGGTGTCATTACACTACCAGCACCATCCAATGTTAACTCATCTGATAAACTACGTCCTTCTCGTTTAGAGCCTAGTCCGCTCGGGCAAGATTCCCCCAATACAGTGCGTGAGTGTCGAAGCGTCTCCAAGCTCTCGAGTTCGATTGGGCTGAGAACGTTCGATGGAAAGAACAAAAGGCCCAACCTGGCCGTTCCCTGGTCGAGAGGCATCCACCACACAGTTTGCAGTTTGACATCGACCCATCAGCACAACTCTGGTGCTCAGAACTGCTCTCAAATAAAACATTTTATGGAGAACGGACATTTCAGAATAACTCTATTTCTGCTGTGATAGAGACTTCGATTTTAAAGAGCTTTTAAGTGTTTAGGCTGTCCTGTAAAAGCCCATCTGCCTGTTGTTGGCGAATGATTGTTGAGCTTTGATAAAGAAGACAATATTACACCATTGTCCTCTGGAAAATCAGGGGAGTGCAAATTCCCCTCAAAAGAATCAGAGTGACGGCAGACCTAATACATGTCAGCAATCCAAATGAACCGACATGGTATTGATCAGTTTCTGCATAGTCGTATTTGCATCGACTGACAGTAACTTAGGGTCGCCCTACCTCTGGTGTCATATTGTACAGTGACATATTGTATCTGTGTTATCACATTCCATTAAATAGTTTGTAGAATAAACCCTGCACAATTTTTGCTTTCTCTTGAATCTTGGAAGAGGACGGGAAAATAGTTCTTCAGGGTACATGAAGAAAGCTGTCTTTATTTATAACTGGACGTTATACACTATTCGTAATGTTCGGAATCTGAGTTACATTATTGTTAACACATAAATAGACGTCATGTATATCAAGTATATTCCTAATAGAACAATGCAACTGCTGTACACATAGATGTAAACACCACACACCTATTCGTAAATACTCAACTATTATATTTCTTTATGTGTGTGTGTGTGTGTGTGTGTGTGTGTGTGTGTGTGTGTGTGTGTGTTAATCTACCAGTCGTAAAAGGCTTTTAAAGATTTGATGTCTTGCGTTTTTTAGTTGATCGCCAAAAATACTCTTTCCACTTTTTGTTCACCTCTACGTATGTATCGTATCGTATTTATACTTATACCAAACATAGACAGTATTAGTATGGTATGAACACGGGACATTAAGGGTCCATATCAAAACTTATTGGATTGATGACATAATCATTGACGTGGATGCTGCTTAAAATATGTGAAACCATCTTCCCATTGGTGTCAATTTGATTTATTTGAATTACTGGATGTGTAGTTATTTACAAAATATATCCCTGATACGCGGATGCATACAGTTTGCACATCGGTTTTTCGATTCATACCTCAATGAACCGAAAAAAATACACAGTCAATCCTTAAATAATTAAATATATATATATATGCTTCGTATTCTGTTACTGTAAACTGAATTCATGGAATTTCGTAGGTTATTTTTATCGTTGATTTAGAGTGACACTTAGGAGCTTGAGTATCAGTGAAAACAGGATTTGATATCAACTTGTTTCAGAGGAACAGTCAGAGGAAGGGGATCACTATATTGACAACAAAATGTCTATATAAATCATCTTCATATTTACAAAACAGGATAAAATATACTAAATTTGCATAAAGAAATATTTCAGGGGGTATGCAAGTATAATTTGTAAACTGAATAAACCGTACCCTCCCAAACCATTGAATATTATGTAGTGTTTCAATCGATTTTATTTTCATCATAGATGAAGTGAAAAATTGTATTCTATTCCCGTAAATTAATTAATGTCACACATGTCCATTTGGTAGAAATTGTATCCTTTATGAATACGGCGCCCTTCTTACAGAAGAGTAAGCCAGTTCCCTTGAACAGACTATGCCGATTAGTGTGTCGAGTGGTGCCCCAAACTGTAGTACTTCCAGTTTGATAGCTAAATCCCCGTATATATTGTCCCAAATGGCATCACAGTAGTAAATATTACAAAACATGTACTACTTGCTTAATAATTTTAATGTTTTGCTGTTAAGTCTGTATTTTAAATTTCTGGGAAGATATACCATAGTGTATTAATGTTGGTCAAGTCTGGGTGATCGTGATGCAACTATGACAGTTGGTTGGTTATATAATTCACATATAAAGGAGTGTCAGTGTTGTATTAATGTCTGCACAATGTCTTACTTGCCAAATGTTTTCTCAGTTCTTCTCATACGCTATTTCTGAAGATTTTCGACGACCTGTGATGAAGGTCAGGGTCAAACACACATTAAAACGGAATACTTGCTTTTACTTCTTTATAATGCAAAACTATTTTCGTTGGTTAATAGCAAATAATCTTTCTTCTGTGCCAATTGAAATATTTGAAACAGTATAAGACTGTTTTTACAGTATGCTACAGTAACTTTAAAGCAACTTTAAGAAACAATAAGAAACTTTCGGGCAGCAGATATTGTTAGTTTACTTGTGGTAGTGATGGCAGATGAGGCGCTCATAAAATATAGAGACAAACAACGTCATTCGAAAAATTCGTGATGTGACAGTTTCAGGAAGGTTGGCTGTCCCTATAATATACTCAACAACAAAAGTTCCTGTGATATTTTAGTGTATTTTTCAAACAAGTAAAGTTTGGTTTTCAATATTGTAGTACATGTATGGAATATAGACACAAAAACGCAACTTTTACAGAAAAGCATGCATTCCATGCAAAAGTTGACTTTTATGCAAGCCCCATGCATTTCATTACCCAAGAATGAGTATAAAAACATGTGCGTTAACGGAATTCCATATGCATTGTTTATCATCGTGCTGACAACAACCACTCAGAAAAACAACAAAATTACGCAATTATTCAACATTACGAATTGAGCGTCTGCGTGCCATTGGTATGCTTGAAGCAGGATCGAGTCAACGTGATGTTGCAAGACAATTTAACGTCCACAGAAACACCATTTGGTGTTTATGGCAACGTTGGCAACAGACGAATGCAGTCAGACACCATCCTCGAAGTGGAAGGCCACGCGTAACCAATAATCGACAAAACAACTGGATTCGAACAACACACCTACGAAATCGATTCCAGCCAGCAACAGTGACTGCAAGAAGCATCCCTGGCCTTCGACGAATATCTTCACAAACCGTACGTCGTCGCCTCAGATGTGCAGGGATTGTCGCCAGAAGACCCGCCAGACGTCCCATTTTGACAGGAAACCACCGTCAAGCACGTCTACAGTGGTGCAGACAACGTCTACGCTGGACGGCCATACAGTGGGGACAAGTTCTATTCACTGACGAGTCCGTTTTCACCTCAGCTACAGCGATGGACGGATTCGTGTGTACCGACGTCGAGGTGAACGTTACGTCAATCATTGTGTCATGGAAGAAGATTGGTTCGGGGGCGGCAGCGTTATGGTATGGGGTGAGATTACAGCAAGACAGAGGACCCGTTTGATAGTGGTAAAGGGAAATCTCAATGGACAGCGCTACCGCGACGAGATCATCGCCTCTGTTGTTCTACCGTTTTTGCGTCGTCATGGCCCAGGCATTACCTTTCAATATGACAACGCCCGGCCTCACATTGCTCGACTTGT